CTGTCAATTTCAATCATATAGTTGTCAATTGCCACAGGGACAGAAATTTCATCTTATGAGCTGTGGTCTACAGACCACACTATATTTGATATTCCCCTTTCAAAAAAAAAAAAAAACTTTCCAGACTGTGAATGATCTGAATAGAGAAAGTTAGAGTTGTTCACTAAGCCATCAACAGTCAGGAACTGACAAATTAATTAGCTACAGTTCACAGTTTAGTGAATAACAGTTTTACAGGGTTATTCACTAAACTGCAAATTAAAATAACACTCTAGGCACAAGAGTCTTTGTAAGGAAATGTTTATGATGCAAGGAGGTCCATGGTGCTAGATTACCTGGAGAGGTTAAACCATTCAATAATGCTGCCAAAGGATTTTTTTTTTTTTTTTTTTAATGTAATACATTCTACAAACAAACAGTGTGTGGAACAAATAGTCTCAAAGGGAAACAAATGTGCCACTTTCAGTGCAGAAGGGGCTAATAACCCCTTCTGACACAAGTCCAGCGCTAATGTCCCTCATCGCTGGCTTGGGCTCCGCCTCCGCTCCTGTCACGCTGCATTGTTTCGACCTACAAGGTCTCTGTCAAGCTTGACAAAGACCTTGTAGGTCGAAAAATTGCGGTGTGAAATTGGTTTGAATAAATTGCTTTCTTAAACCTTGGATTGTCTGAACCACTCTGTGTTTTCTGTATACAGGGAGTGCAGGATTATTAGGCAAATGAGTATTTTGACCACATCATCCTCTTTATGCATGTTGTCTTACTCCAAGCTGTATAGGCTCGAAAGCCTACTACCAATTAAGCATATTAGGTGATGTGCATCTCTGTAATGAGAAGGGGTGTGGTCTAATGACATCAACACCCTATATCAGGTGTGCATAATTATTAGGCAACTTCCTTTCCTTTGGCAAAATGGGTCAAAAGAAGGACTTGACAGGCTCAGAAAAGTCAAAAATAGTGAGATATCTTGCAGAGGGATGCAGCACTCTTAAAATTGCAAAGCTTCTGAAGCGTGATCATCGAACAATCAAGCGTTTCATTCAAAATAGTCAACAGGGTCGCAAGAAGCGTGTGGAAAAACCAAGGCGCAAAATAACTGCCCATGAACTGAGAAAAGTCAAGCGTGCAGCTGCCACGATGCCACTTGCCACCAGTTTGGCCATATTTCAGAGCTGCAACATCACTGGAGTGCCCAAAAGCACAAGGTGTGCAATACTCAGAGACATGGCCAAGGTAAGAAAGGCTGAAAGACGACCACCACTGAACAAGACACACAAGCTGAAACGTCAAGACTGGGCCAAGAAATATCTCAAGACTGATTTTTCTAAGGTTTTATGGACTGATGAAATGAGAGTGAGTCTTGATGGGCCAGATGGATGGGCCCGTGGCTGGATTGGTAAAGGGCAGAGAGCTCCAGTCCGACTCAGACGCCAGCAAGGTGGAGGTGGAGTACTGGTTTGGGCTGGTATCATCAAAGATGAGCTTGTGGGGCCTTTTCGGGTTGAGGATGGAGTCAAGCTCAACTCCCAGTCCTACTGCCAGTTCCTGGAAGACACCTTCTTCAAGCAGTGGTACAGGAAGAAGTCTGCATCCTTCAAGAAAAACATGATTTTCATGCAGGACAATGCTCCATCACACGCGTCCAAGTACTCCACAGCGTGGCTGGCAAGAAAGGGTATAAAAGAAGAAAATCTAATGACATGGCCTCCTTGTTCACCTGATCTGAACCCCATTGAGAACCTGTGGTCCATCATCAAATGTGTGATTTACAAGGAGGGAAAACAGTACACCTCTCTGAACAGTGTCTGGGAGGCTGTGGTGGCTGCTGCACGCAATGTTGATGGTGAACAGATCAAAACACTGACAGAATCCATGGATGGCAGGCTTTTGAGTGTCCTTGCAAAGAAAGGTGGCTATATTGGTCACTGATTTGTTTTTGTTTTGTTTTTGAATGTCAGAAATGTATATTTGTGAATGTTGAGATGTTATATTGGTTTCACTGGTAATAATAAATAATTGAAATGGGTATATATTTGTTTTTTGTTAAGTTGCCTAATAATTATGCACAGTAATAGTCACCTGCACACACAGATATCCCCCTAACATAGCTATAACTAAAAACAAACTAAAAACTACTTCCAAAAATATTCAGCTTTGATATTAATGAGTTTTTTGGGTTCATTGAGAACATGGTTGTTGTTCAATAATAAAATTAATCCTCAAAAATACAACTTGCCTAATAATTCTGCACTCCCTGTAGGTTCCCTTTTGTCCACCCCTTTCTCCTTTATAAAATTTTGTGAAATAAACAAACAATCTTGTTTTCCAGCGCCAGGTCTCCTTCGCTGCAGACTCCATTAAAGGTCAACAAGTGACATCACCCACAATCGCATCCAATCCGTTGCTTTCCTGCAGAAAAGCAGTAGATTGGAGAGAGCATCCACAGCAAAACACTGCGCTACTCTAATCAAATGATATCAGCAGCATTTGATTCCCGGACTGAATTTCACTCGGTCTGGAGAAAGAATTGGACATAGTGGCTGTCAGGCAGACCTAAAATACTGCAATGTATGGCATTGCAGGGTTAAAATGACTGGACCACTGCACAGAGACCACTTCATTGAGATCAAGTGGTCTGGGTGACTATAGTGTTACCTTACTAGAAATTGAGTATTTGATAAACATAAGCTCTTTATTGAAAAATGCCATTGCATTTCAAAAAGAAAAAATACTTTATCTATAGTTAAAGCCTGAGCTTTACAAAATCTGTCAAAAGGCATAGCATCTGCAGTCTCTTGCGACAGACGTCGGAATCAAGCTGCTTTTTACAGAATGCTAGACTAAATCTATGGAGGCTCCCATAGTCTTGCAGAATCTTCCACCGGCATCAGTGTATGATGCTGCTGTGGACAAACAAGATGGCAGCACCCGTGGGGGACATCTTAAGCCAAGTACATCTACCCTTCATCGTAACCCCAGGCTTCCAAATCCCAAGCAGGGATGTTGCCTTAGAGTGGCATACCTGCTTTAAAGTAGCAGTCTAAGTACTAGAACAACAACTACAGTTCATTGTCAAAAGTCTGAGTGCCATCATCCCGTTTAATGCCAAACTAGTAATAATGTTAAAATGGTTCTAACAAATAAACAGGTATCTTCGGGTGCCTAAAGTCAGTCTCTGCGGCAGCTCAGATTATTGAGAAGAGGACTTCCAGAATTGTGTGATGTTACGCTGTAGGGGCATGAGAGCCAAGGTATATGTGAAATCAATTGAAAACATACACAACCTGGCTGGATGGAGCCCTCAGATTCCTTGCATCCTAGCCACTACAATGAGCTGTAGTTGTTTTGGTGCTGGACTGAGTGAACCATAAGGGCTCCACTGTGGTTTGCATGCAATAAAAAAAAAAAATATATATATATATATATATATATATATATATATATATATATTTTTTTTTTTTATATTTTTTTTAATGGAAAGTATTCCTTGTGTAATCACACACTGAGGAATGGGCATGTAAATAGTATGTGAGGAGATATAGAAAGGCAACTCCATAAAACACACCTTCCTACATCGCCTTCATTTTCTGTAATCTCACAAATGACTTCTTTTTGCAGTGAGTATGCAATATACACAAGGCAAGGCTATGACAGAAGTTAGATTGCAGCAGTTTAAAGGCAAGTTAACTTGACTCAGCATGGGTAGGAGTGCATACATTACCAATGCATCAAAACACTTTAAAAACACAACCCGTATGTTAAAATATAGGATATGCACAAAGTACATTCATATTTTGTCCTTAAATGAAATCAAATAAAGTTTATTTGGACATCTTCCACTTGAAACAATATAATACATTGTGTTCCTATCTATCTAAAGGCAGCCTGGGGGACGTGATCATGGAGATTGCTAACAATGCAGTTCTCACCTTCCCAAACATTAGCATGACAACACATTTTCTGAGGACGCCTCCCTAGCGTCTGTATTAACCAATTTAAAGAAACAGAGCAAGTTGAGCGCCACATATTAAAGTGCAAGAGTGGTTTTGTTTTGTTTTTTTGCAACAAAATCCATGCAATCTCTGGACATGCAAGGTACACATGCACCCCTTGATTGACCCAATTTAAATAAACAGCAGATATCGTGTAGAGACCAGCGCTGCTGCTATACTCACTGCTGTGCATGGGCTCTGCAGCCAGCAAGATCAGTAGCAGGGCGCCGGCCAGGGTGCAGATGATCTGCATGTTGTGTGCAGGGGACCGGCAGGAGAGCTCTGTTTTCCTCCTCTAGAGATCGAGATCCTTTCTGAGCCAAGTTCCCCCTCCAGCAGCTCCTGTGAGAGAGAAAACACATTCACATCCAGCAGCACACTCAGCGGGGGAGTCAGTGGCTGAGGTTCTTTCCCTCCCAATCATTTGATAAAAGTTTGCATACATCTACAGACACACCTATATGTGCCTGGTTCCTGTACGACAAGCATGCACAGCAGCTCAAAGCCGTACTCAGCCTGCCATCTCACTGGGATGCCATCTCACTATAAATAAACTCCATTCATATCATTTTCGCTCTTTATTTTAATCTGCCGTTCCATGGTTAGAACCCTCCTGTAGCAATACATGTGTAGAATGCTGCCTCGCCTTCTACAACATCTGTGTGTTCTATTTAATCTGAGAGCGCTTGACAGGGCAAATAAATAGCTTTGCAACTGTCCCTGTCACCCTGCTTGCATTTACAAGCATCCCGATCATGTGCAATTTAACTGGTATAATCAGAGTGCGTTATGGAGTCCCAGGCACAAGTTTGCTGTGGAAATAGACACGGAGAGAATAACTTGAACGAACCCTGGAATTTTACAATAACTAACACAATGTAACAGTAGACAATTGTGGATGTCACCTGCTGGGCTCCGTGGTTTTGTCTAAAGCCCCAAGTCTGGTCACTTTGACATTTCACATAAAGCTCAGTGAACTGAACACAAAGCAAAGGCAGGGAGCAATGAGATCTGTGGTGTGACTGACTCCTCCTATTCGTGTGTCTGTTTGTTTACAAAAAAATACAAAGAGAAAGCGAGAGAAAACAGGAACCCTCAATCAAATGGGCTTTAATATGGCACCACCTGCTGACAGTATCCAAACTGCACTGACCTGATTCACACTAACAGCCAGACAGCTGCTCTGTGCTACTAGCCAATAGAGCAGCATGCTACAAAGTACAATGTGCAGTCACGTGGGCTTTGAATGATTTCACAGCAAGAAATAAAATGAATTGCATGATCTCCATGTCATTTATAAGTGATCTTCAAAATGTTGGAATATTAAAGGAAAGTGAGAAAAGGCACCTTTGCATACTTTTATTTTATCACACACGCGTGTGCATGTGTGTGTGTGTGTGTGCATATATATATATATACACATTTTTTTTAATATGTAATAATATGTAATATTTTTAACAGCTAGTTTTATGAGAACATAGTGCCACAATTCCTTCTCATGCATGCAGCTACAAGTGTTCATTTTTACCATATACTGTGATAAATTGAAAATTGATGAGGTTATTGAGCAAGCTCCATATTTAGGAGGCAGACATTTAAAAATAAAATTGTGGCAATTAAGTTGCACTGTGGCAAAAAAAATCACACGCAATTTGTTTTGATAAATTATCTTATTGTAAATTGAGCATATTTACCTAATTTGATGGTGATATAGATGTCACTACTTTATAAAAATGGTGTTGTGACGTCATTCTTCCTGACTGTTATGGTAGAGACACATTAGATTAGGAGATATTTATCAAAGTGTTCTGTTATAAAAAATGTTGCTAAAACTTAAAAGGGGAGTCACGAATGGAATGTAAATGCTGATCCCATGGTGATTGCCCTTCATATCTGCCAGCACAATAGGAATAAAATAAGCAGATTAATGTCCACCAACTGTCCCAATTTTGTCCACTGGTGTCACGGTTGCACTGTGCTGAGCACTATATCTGCATGGTCTGACCTGAGTGTGAAACAGGATTCCTGCCTGTCTACAATGTCATTCACACTGGACTTTCACACAGCTACAGTTTGTTTTCTGGATGTACAGGTGAATCTGAATAATTGCAATTTTTAATTTTGAAGTGTATTCCATAATTGATTTCTTCACTTTGACTTCCCCCCTTAAAAGGAGTCTCCCATCCTCACAATTAGTTAGGATGGAGTGTATTATCACGGGCAGTGTAAACTTTAAAGTTAGAGCAAATAAATTAGTGGAGGATTTTTGTAGGTGAGACTTTCCAGACAAAGTCTTAGTGGAATGCTGACAGAAGATCTCTAACCTTGATAGCACCACACTGAGGACCTGCAGGGCAGATAACATGTGTGACCACTTATTCGATATTATGTAAACGAATGTATCATTCAAAGGTATTGGCAACCCTAATTTGGGTGATCTCTTTGAGAATCCCACAATAATGGCATACAAAAGGCCCATAAGTCATTCCATGGTCCATGCAGATATACCACCAACATCATCACCCATGACCAATTGGCTTTCTAACATCAAAGGCGTATAAATGTGGACATTGTATCAATTGCAATGGGTTCATGCGTACTGATGCCTTTTTTTACATCCCAGAACAGGGAAGAAATATACTCTAAGAGACTTATTGAATTGTTAAACATCCTTTGCAGTCTATCATGAATGTAGGTAAGACTAGGCGCCCGTTGACGGTTAGTATAGGTTAGCATAAAAGCAATATCCATAACCATAATCAATTATCCTCTACTGCCAGACATTTTGATAACTGCAGACATACTATAAAACCATTAAGATACCTGGCAATTAAACATGTCAGGACTACAGAACAGAGATAGACAGGGTTAGAAAACTTACACAGCCAGAACTCCATTGATTTATGAACTGGACACCCTACATCCCAGGGCTCTTAACAATGACAAAAATGTCCCAAGCTTCTGATGAATATGCCTTCTATCATTGTTCTTGGTTTTTTTCTTACCTACAGAGGTCTGCTCTCACTCTATTGCTTTCCAAATCAATGTGACCATAAAGCATACTTCAAATCCTACAGGTATTGAATTTTATTGTTTTTTTCTTTTGTCCATCCTACCTGTCTTCCTCTTGTTTTTATACTTCACTGGGGTTGTTTTTAATTAATTTGTCTGTATTTATATTATGTAAAATATGACAGATTAGCATTTAATGGGATCTGGGAAGCAGGAAGTCTTTTACCTTTTACAGCTACCAGGATGATGAAAAGCAAAGGTGAACACCATTGATTTCACATTATGTCTTGTAGTCTTGAGGTAGCCCAATGTTTACATGTCTACTGAGGCTTGAATACTGGGACGGCAAGACATATTAGACAATTTTTGTTTCCACATTTTCTTTTACTGGCTGGTAGTGCGGCTCGTTTGTCTCTAATACTTTATATAATAATAATACTTTATGTAGTTGAGGGATATACCATCTGCTATCCATCTAGGAGTAAATATAGTATTTGTCATCATCCTGTTATTACTGCGTGTCCTATTCTAGATGCACTTGGCCTAATAGTAAAATACTGTTCTGTTCCATTTGCTTTCTGTCTATTTTTACTTGCATTTTATCTTTGGCCTGTAGATGTTTTATTTTTGCAATGCGTTTATTCAGCCGGACTGACAATTTTCGCTCACTCGGCTTGCCATCTACGCAAGCTTGTGGCTTTATTTTACCACGGGTGAGTATATAAACTTATTTTACTGTTTAGCTATTCTAAGAATATTCACCCTAGAATTATAGCTATGCCCCGATTAAAAGGAAGAGTCTGGATTCACTTTTCTTATGTTGCTGGAATTTTTTTCTGACATGCGCATTCCACGATGGTAATGGCGTGCTCGGCTTTCTGTATGATTAACAGACAGTCTTGACAACTATTAACTACATTATGGCAGGACTACCTCTTCTATACACTTGTAAAACCCTATATAAATGGCATTTATGTGAAGTACCACTCACCCATAAGGCCAAAATGTTGGGTGGTTATGCAAAGACATTTCAAGATATTTCAATATATTAGTTACACATACAATTATGACCTGCGTCGGCATCATGTTATCAGGTAGAAAAGGACATGCAGAATGATTTTTATATTAAAATAATAATTAAAAAAAAAAACAACCACGAGTTAAAAAATAAATAACTGTTGACCCTATATGGGCATAAGTGTAGATCCATAGTTTGTACACTATTGTTAGTGGTGATGCACAACAAAGGGCTCACCTCACTCCCAGAGAAAAGATGTTAATAACGTGTTACTGATTCTAAGGAACTATTGTATACAACTAGTGTCAGAAATTACTAGATTATGCATTTGCTAGGGAAGTTATGCTCTATTCCCTGACACTACACAACATTGCAGAAATATAAAGGAAATACAAAAAAGGAACAGTTATAGAAACATAGTAACATAGAATGTGACGGGAGATAAGAACCATTCGGTTCATCTAGTCTGCCCAATTTTCTAAATAATTTCATTAGTCCCTAGCCTTAACTTATATCTAGGATAGCCTTATGCCTATCCCATGCACGCTTATATTCTTTCATTGTGTTAACCTCTTCCACTTTAGCTGGAAGGCTATTCGGTAAAGTAATACATAGAAACATAGAAACATAGAATGTGACGGCAGATAAGAACCATTCGGCCCATCTAGTCTGCCCAATTTTCTAAATACTTTCATTAGTCCCTGGCCTTATCTTATAGTTAGGATAGCCTTATGCCTACCCCACGAATGCTTAAACTCCTTTACTGTTTTAACCTCTACCACTTCAGCTGGAAGGCTATTCCATGCGTCCACTACCCTCTCAGTAAAGTAATAAATCCTGATATTATTTTTAAACCTTTGTCCCTCTAATTTAAGATTATGTCCTCTTTTTGTGGTAGTTTTTCTTCTTTTAAATATAGTCTCCTCCTTTACTGTGTTGATTCCCTTTATATATTTAAATATTTCTATCATATCCCCCCTGTCTCATCTTTCCTCCAAGCTATACATTCTCTGAACTCTCTCTAAGGTATCAATATCCTTCTGAAGATACGGTCTCCAGTACTGTGTACAATACTCCAAGTGAGGTCTCACCAGTGTTCTGTACAATGTCACGAGCACTTCCCTCTTTCTACTGCTAATACCTCTCCCTATACAACCAAGCATTCTGCTAGCATTTCCTGCTGCTCTTTTACATTGTCTGCCTACCTTTAAGTCATCAGAAATAATCACCCCTAAATCCCTTTCCTCAGATGTTGAGGTTAGGACTCTATCAAATATTCTGTACTCTACCCTTGGGTTTGTACGTCCAAGATGCATTATCTTGCACTTATCCACATTAAATGTCAGTTGCCACAATTCTGACCATTTTTCTAGTTTACTTAAATCATTTGCCATTTGGCTTATCCCTCCTGGAACATCAACTTTGTTACATATCTTGGTATCATCAGCAAAAAGACATACCTTACCATCAAGACCTTCTGCAATATCACTAATAAAAATATTAAAGAGAATAGGTCCAAGTACAGATCCCTGAGGTACCCCGCTGGTGACAAGCCCAAGCTTTGAATATACTCCATTGACTACAACCCTCTGTTGCCTGTCACTCAGCCACTGCCTTACCCATTCAGCAATATTGGAATCCAAACTTAAGGATTGCAGTTTATTGATAAGCCTTCTACGTGCAACAGTGTTAAAAGCCTTACTGAAATCTAGGTAAGCAATGTCTACTACACCGCCCTGATCTATTATTTTAGTTACCCAATCAAAAAAATCAATAAGTCATTTTGGCATGATTTCCCTGAAGTAAACCCATGTTGTCTCTGATCTTGAAATAAAAATAAAAACCAGAATAAGTAGCCCTGAGCAACAATTAGAGCAAATGCGATTCATGATGGTGGAAAGTGGGAGTCCTTTGGACTTAATGGCCTTTTCTAGTCTGGAAATATTGATAAAGTGGAGCCCTCAAGGAGTAGATGGGGTCTTTACAGGGACAACAGCAAAGAGTACGACCTTGTCTTGGAGGGACTGGAAGCGGATAATGAGGTCCGCAGTCGCTGACAGTGGTGCAGACAATGGCATCGGGAGACAAAACATGCCATCAAGCTTCGCCATTTTCGCCTGTTCGGGAAGTAATAAAACTGTGAAGAGGCATTTTACGTAGTGTAGTAAGTCATCAATGCCTAGTGACTCTGGCAGATTGTATTTTCTAAGTTGGTCCTCCCAG